GACGAACAAAGTTTTTTGACGCCCCACAGTTTAATAGTGCACGAAGTGACAAATTTCTGTCACTCCTATTTCAAGGTGATGGGGGCCACTTCGTCTTCAGTTGCAGATACACACATTGATTGTGAGTCCGGAGCAACATTCGTCAAGAGATTTGCAAATTCTTATAAAGTCGATGGATCAGTATAGCACTACGCTGCTACTGACCCCGACCGTTTTTCTGACGGTCCAATTCGCTGTTGCTATTTCGCAACCACATTGGACTTTCGTCCTTTTCCGTTCTTGGACAATAGCCAATCACTTCGCTCAGTGTTTCGAGACACTGAACGTAGAAAGCTACAATTTTTAGTGTAGTGTACAATTTTTTGACACCGATTGAACTCCTGAAATCGCTTTTTGGCTAAAGAGAGAGGTTTAGTTCGTTCAACATAATAGAGGTCCGTAAATTCTGGACGTCTAACTACTTATCGTCTTGGTAGACGATATGAACCTAACTTGCACGAGCCTGTCTCAAGCAATTCTTGTTTCGCAGCTGATATCGATTGTTCTAGATAACCAGTTCCAAGCGGAACAGTTGAGTCTTGGCGGTACCATCCGCAAGACCCTACATTTATACATATATCATTGTGCATTTACGAAACGGGTTGGCCGTAGTACAACTCGCAAGGAGTCGCATTTGTTGGGCGTAAGTGTGCACATCACGCTTACCCTGCTTGAGTTTTGGGGTCTCTGATCGAGCTTTGAAATCAGCCCCTGGTGGCTCAACGTTAGTTTGAGCCGAGGTTTGAAAAACTTCAATGGCATGAGCACAAATGGGTCATGCAACTTGGGCCCTAACGCCTAGGTTTTGGCTCTTCCAGCCAGTTTTACTGAGCAAATGCAAGTCGAATTTGCTCATCGACGATGTGGCAAGCCCTAATAACGTCGGTCAACACGACCGTCTCTCTCAGCAGGGAGTCTTCCTCGACTCTTCTGTACTTTAGGATGCATGTATCTAAAGTTTCGGGTCGACGCGCGTGCGCCGCCCCGGGAAAAGAAGCATGTGCCTTCTGTTCCTTGTCAATTCAAACTGATGATCATCCCGTTCTATTGACAGCGCTATATGATGAGAGCCTTGTTGGTGACCAACGATACTTTATCCCGTGACTTGTCAAGTTCATGATGTATAAACCTGGCGACAGCGGCATGCTGCCTATCTCTTTCCAGTTTGGACAGCATGGCAGAGATGGCACGTTTGCCCACGGCTGCAGCCATTTGTTCGACCACACTCCATTCGATGTCATCTAAATAATATTAGCTTTCACGCCACGCAAGAAAGCTGTCACTATCATCATCCAACACGTCATGTTATTTGTATGGTCTGCGGACCTTGGATGGACTGCAAAGTGCAACCAGTTATAGCAAGGCAATGTCACTAGTGCTGCTTCAACACTAGTGCACCTACACTGACAGTAGTGTAGGTAGTGACGCGCGTCACTTCACGTCCACTGTATGTACAGAGGAAGGCTAGCTGATGAACGAAGCGTTCTATAGGAGTAGGAAGTAAAACTGTATTGAATGCAATTAAGTCCTAAATACATGTACGTATGTTTAGTCCTAACGTAAGCATGATTATCCACAAAAGTGTCTGCTAAAGTCTTCTCACCACTCATTGCGCGCGTCTATCGTTGATTGGACCGCTAGAGCAGGCTGATTTGATGGCCCATATCAGGAAACCGGCAAGTTCTTCGGAGTATTACATCTTATGATAATATTCACGAACATTGTCAACCGTTATGATAATATTCCAATTTGCGAGTATCAAAATTACATGTAGCAGGATCACTCTGTTACATAATAGGTCATGTTGGAATACAAATTTGGCAGTCCGTAAAGTTAGAACCAGTTAAAGTAGCGGTTGACGACTAAGATCTTTTGGGTGTTGAGGTTGGCATCCCGCTAGACTTAAACCAGGAATGATTACGGCTTACAACTGAAACTAACGTTGGAAATAACGATGAGTGGACAAGAAAGGAGAAGAGCGAAACAAGCTAGCTAATTAACAATGTCAGAGTCAACTTGCTACAGTGCTCTCAACACCCGCTCTCTTCTCAGCCTGGTGGCTGATGAACAGGTCATACTTTACTTATCGATGCGTACCACGTACGCTTTGGGCCGCCACCGCAGGCTTCCTCAGAGGCTTACCGGATTTAAAGTGAGAATTCCCCGTGCAGCAGCCTCTGTCGCTTCTACACGTTTCTCTACGCATCAACATTCTAAGACTTTCATTATGCGGACTAACCTATCTTAATCTAGCAGACTTCACCGGCTCGCAACTAGTACCCAGCGAGGTACAAGATGTCACATATTATCAGTATCATCATCACATACACGCTTACACCAACGCTCTTAGTGCAAAGCTGTTGGATTTCCCGTCGTCTACTGGATCTAGTTGTACCCGATATACACGAAACACAACAAAGTTCGACAGCTTGTGCCACGTTACAACAAGCTGACAGGGGCATCACGATAGCTAGTCATATACTACCACTACTCTCAACAAGTTTGGAAGCTGATGATGTCGGAAGCGCAAGCTGCCAGAATCAGAAACTCCTTCTTTCGCCGAATGGTCGACAGGGTGACGACAATTCCCCCCCTCTCCCCTTACGTGATACTTGCAGACACGACATACATCAAGGGGAAATTATAACGGCAAATGGGGTCCCCTGCGCCTCGTGGCTACTTCGGTGACAAATCTCCACGTCGAGGGGCCGACCATCGCGTATGGAGAGGTCTCTAAAAGAGACATTACGGCGGGTAGAAGTTTTCACGCCTAGCAATTACTCTGGTCACCGCACTCCACGTTAGGTGGCGCGGCCAGAGATGCCGGTCTACGAACCCAGAATAGTCCCTGTTGTCTCAGGGACCTGCTAAGATCTTCCGCCAGTTGTCCCGGTGCGTACCTCTTGGCTCAGAAATCAAGAGAAGTTTAGGCGTACAGATAACACCGTACAAGTACACGATCTTAACCGACTAGCCTTTGAAGCGATATACAGTGCGCGGCCCTTTTCAGGCGGGTACTATATGATATTGAGTAAAAATGGATAATGCAGTGGGTGAAGCAGCTTCTTAACAAAATGCACGATTAAGCCTAACGAGACGTTGTATGCACGACTGCTGAACACAGATCATCACTTGAAATAGCGAATGTGATTAAAATGTCATTTGGTCAGGCAGCCAATCCCCTCTCACCTGCCACATCCACGACTATCAAGTTAATATGGTGGTCTGTAGCTAATATCAAATGTGACAAACCAATCTTAAAAACTTATGCAGTCATGCTCAAATTGCATCGAGCACCATCCCATCATTTATGCACCACCTTTGCATATCATGACGGACTAAAGCTGAAGGAGCCTGTCTCGAGTACATTTTTGCGCAGCGTTAGTTTGCTCGGGGGTCGATACGGGAAGGTAACGATCGGCGTCGACCTCGTGCCCCGTGCAACCACTTCAGTTTGCGCATACATGAGAGTACAGGACCGCGCAACTGCTATATTGGGGGCAGTTACCAAGGATGAAGGCGCCTCCTCATCACGCGTTGCCGCTTCGGCAATTATTGACTACTAGGCCGATAGGTCACGCAAGATGAAAGCACGGCACGAATATTTAATCGAAGGCATTCCCTGCCTTCGGTTAATTATTCGTGCCGTTTTTGGCGACCATTACATAAGTTTTGGATTATTTGCTCGAGTGACCACGCCGGATACTGTCGCTGCGTGCAGTAGCATTCTCCGCACTTGCAACATCATTTTGGCTGGATGCACTTAAGCCGTCAGGCCGCGCTTGTGTCACTGATTCGATTTAGTCTTTTATGATGCTTTGCAATCTCTTCTGCGCAGGGATATGATGCACTGAGAGTGTTTATAAGATGGGCTCAAACTTGGCTTGGATCAGATGGTCTTTCACCTTTGCTACCCTCTCTACGTAAAGCCTCTTTCTTGAGTTTTACCTGCTTCACTACATTTAAACATTAAATACACAGCTGTTTGTCGCAGGAAGTCTTACGACTTATGAAGTCACTTAGCTAAACGAAAATTCTAGCTTTTTAAATTTTTAACGAGTCTTTCGTTTTTTGAACTATTTAACAAGGCTCAGAGAGACTTTGACCTCACCTGGAGCTTCGCTTCCTGGTTTAAGGGAATAACAGCGACTCTAGGAATTGTATATACAACATGCTCTCGAGTATACGCATCAATCTGGATCTTACTCGTAACGATCTGCTGGAGCGTAAAATAGACACGTGTCAATCTAAGACTAAAAGTGGAGTCGAACTTTAGTTATTAGTTTTATCTGTAATAAACCTCATTCAACAAAATACTAATGGTGAACCGATTTACATAGTAATCTTCATTCCATCAAAGATTGATGAAGGGAAACGTTAACCACCCCCCAGGTTTTCGTTAACCACCCCCCCCCACCCCCTATATATTATCGTAATTTACTCGATGGACGCGTTCCGATTGGTAGAATTGCAAATATCACCGGTTTAAGCAGTAATTTACTAATTCATTTACAAATGATTAAATACTAAGTACAGATAATTGATGCATGTCTACAAGTCGGCGACGTGCGATAATTTACATGTCAGATACTGCGATTATCCTGGCTGGACACTGTAGCATAGGCATTCATTAATGCTACATTCGAAATTGACTTTAAGCCAGCTGCAGAGGTCTATCACGAGGTATGTGTGTAGTCGTAATACGTGTATAATTGACTAACTAGACTAACGCGTAATTTGATGATGGTAGTGGCTTAATCTCCTCCCATCGGCATGCACATCGCGGCTGCTCTCTATCCCACGCATTGTCGACTAACTCTTCATCCAACAGCGCGTCCTGATCCAGATCAAAAAGATTCGAGTCAAAAGACGAAAAGGGCGAGATGCCAAACAATGACCGGTCTTGTGTGGTGAGGGTGAAGCCTATTGATCAAGATACTGCTGTTGCGGTAGCTTCCGAAATGCTCGCTGATAGCCAAGCTGCTGTTGGTGATGGCGAGCGCGTTCGCTCTAGCGCTAGCTCTGTGGAGAAGAGGGACGTTGCAGATACTATGACTGCTACGCCGGCGACGAGTGGAGGTGTTACACTTAAGAAGTTCAAGTTCAGCGGCATCTCGATTAAATCTTGCAACTCGACAACGCAGAATTGTCAAGTAACTACGCAGAAACCTGCAATTTTCTTTCGTAGATTGGACAAAGGCAGTAACGACTGTTAGCCTGGGGACAACAACATTGCAACTAAATAAAACACGGTGAAGCTTCGCTGAAGGAAAAAACAACCAATACAAGAAGAGCGAGCAATCTTCTAGCGGAAGAAGTTGCGGTTTGATAACAGCTGGTATTGTGGCTAGCAGAAGACGAAGATTATGGTGAAACGCTGGAAGAGCAAAAGAGACGAATAAAAAGTAGAAGCTCAGGAGAGTGAGCGCATTAAAATATTGTCGAAGAGATGGACCCGCTGGATGCCGATTTATGGCTGGTCTCGTCGATGGGGTAGCTATAAACAATTTCATAAGCTCGTTGCACTTCTTGTCAGATGAAATCTAATTTTGTAGGTGCCATCATCGGCAACATTTCTCTCACAGATGACAGTAACAGGGCGCAAATAATCCAGCAATAAACTACCTTTCTTTCGTGTCACACGTTCAGCTTCCTGAATCGCATTCAAGTTTGGGTCGCTCGTGCGATCGATGTTGACCAATACACGTTGTACCAGTCCATCATTGGCAAACCTTTAGTACATTAGCGGCGTTGTTTCAGCGATGATTAATGTCTGAGTTGCAAAGCGATTCAATGTAATAGCAACCCCCGCAACATATTTATAGTCCCACGTGCGATCGCTTTTATCCGAAAATTGTTTCGCACAATTTTCAGCTTGGTATCGCTGAGCATTAGAAATTAAGTTAGTTGGCCTGAAGTAGCCACCACAACATACACCCCGCAACAGAAAATAATGCTCGTTTAATGCCGCTTATTGTCTCTGAAATTGCTGCCTTCAACTCTACACTCTGACATAAACACGTAGCTGGTAAAGTGCTTCAGTACAATAATCTTCTGCTTCATAAGCTCCCATGGCGAGTCTTGAATCAGATTAAATGGAACTTTGTAACCAACAATCGCATTACTTGCATAACCTTCGATCGCTAGCATCATTAATAACTGATTGAACCTCGTGATTGCCAAATATTCTGCAAATACAATGATAATCATGTCGAGTCGTTGGAGAATACACGGTGTGGATCTAAGGTAAATCAGCGTTAGCCCCAGGATGTTCTTGGATTTGAACACTTCCGTAATAAGACGACAAAATCCAAACAAAGTCGAAAAACTTGATGAAGGGCGCCATGTCTCCGCTAACTACCATTTGCCCCTTCTTGCAACTGATAGATTCCACGTGATTTTTCTGGGGCTATTGGGTTACGGCAAGTTCGAAAGTTGTGACCTGACTCACTGCAATTGCTGCATTTACGCCTCTTGGGGGGATTTAGCGCGACCTCTGCATGCCCGAAGAGCGATAGATCGCGCTCTGTGCTTCCAAAACGACGATTTAGAGCACCGACTGGCCTACCACGACTCTTAATCCGCTCAGGATCACGCACGTCATTGGGCAGCGCCAGAACATGTTCGACGATCTCTCTTTTTTGGTTCCCGGCGGCATTTGAGTACTCTGTTGACACCTTATCCCATGCTGTTGGCAAGTCGACCACATTGTGTGGATGAACTATCCTGGGCGGCTGTAGCAGCCTCCAGTGCTTTTCGAAATCATTGAGAGATAGCGATACGCATCTAGCGGAGGAGTAATGTCGGCAACGATATCCCATCACCAACATTAACAAGTCTGCAAAAACGTTAAATGAATATGAGCTGCACATTATAATATGCTGTGAAATCTTTTATACGTACCTTGGCATTCAATGACGGCTTCATTGTCATCGACATTTTTGTAAAATCGATTTTTGTATTGGCGAAAGGCTGTGCGCAGGCCAGCTTCCGAGATCTTTCCCATGACGTCGGTAAATATACTACCGAATGGCATGTCAAACGTCGCTCGCTCTTTTGCGTGCTGTTGCTCGATACGAGCCAGCTGTCCATCGCAAGCTAGCTTTATAGCATTGTTTACAGACAGTAGATCGCCAGTCGAGGATCCAATTTAGCGCTTCAGGGCAGCATGCGCACTTTCCACGCGAGACGTGGTGACATGTCCATAATGCTGCTTGTTACGGAGAAAACCGGTCACAAATTTCTCTTTCCAACACAGCCAATTTTCGTCGATATATCGAACTACCTGCGGGTGCGATATTCCCCAGCTTTCGCGCATAATTTTCCACTTATCTTTATAGGTCTCAATCCGATCTTGTGACACCAAGATGTTCCAGTTTTTAAAAAAGGCCTCCCAATCATCGATAGTGGTGAAGGACTCCTTGTGTTTGGCCAAAATGTTCTTCGATATATGCCAGCGGCAAAGCAACCCGTTCACATTCGGGAAGACTATGTCTATCGCGCCCATCAAGGCCAGCTCTCGGTCTGTTATAAATGTCTTTCAAATTATACACATCTCGCAAAGTTCCTGTTGTAGCTTTTGCATCGCCCAGACGTAGTTTGACTCTCGTTCTGCTTGCATAAAGCAGTATGCCAGGGTAAAGGTATAGTTGATGCAGGTAACTCCGACGATATGGAGCAAGGGTAGTCCATACCTGTTGGTCTTGTACGTAGAGTCCATAAGCCATACTATCCTTGGCAGTACATCTGGAACAAATTTCCTTGGCCAATGGAGAAACAACAAAAAGGTGTGACAGTTTCGGTCCATCTTCTTCGCGTGCCGTATAATATTTGACGCTTGAAGTAACAAGTCCATCAAGCAGTGACTGTAGAGGTGTTCTACCTTGTAGCTTCAGAGCACGATCATTGTTACGGACGTTGTAAATATCTTGGGCGGTGACATTTATGCTGCTTTCATTGCGGAGAGAAGCGACAATAGTACCAGGTTTGGCACCGGCACTGGTCAATAAGAGAATTCGCTCGCGAGCCTCTTCGTTCTATGCGCGACCAATTGGATGTGCAGAGGAGTCATCAAATGCATCGTGGTTGTGGTTCCCTTTAATGACTGTAACGTTCCAGCACTCATATATGCGTTGAGTGACAGCTTCAAAACTGCACCCGGTGCTTCTACTAGCCCTTATGCGCTTGATCGTTCTCGTTTCTGGTACTTCGTTAACAGCAACTGGCTTGTATTTATTTCCCCTTGAACACCATAGAATAATACCTTTAATTGCGCCATCTTTCCTATTACCCACCTTCTTGGCACGCTTGATCGTTAGGACAAAGCCTTGAGCTCTTGCATGTTCATTAAGTGCCTTTCGGGCTTCCTCTAGCGTATCGTATGTAGTTTCAGGAGGTGGTAGCAGAGCCATGTGAGAACGACAGACTATGGTGTTTAAGCGCTGAAAAAAATTATTCAACAATCGAAAAAATAGCGTGTAAGCGATTACATGATGCAATTATTGTGTTGGAATTGGCTTTCAGTATTTAGCAATATGACATTTAATTTATAATTAATCAAAAATTTGGAAGGTATTGATATTACGGTAATATATAGGGGGTGGGGGTGGTTAACTAAAACCTGGGTGGGGTGGTTAACGTTTCCCTTGATGAATGACAAATCAATATTCCATCAATTGATGACTGAAGTTATCTAAATATCATGAATCATAGATAAAACTTGTGATAGTAATTTACATATGCATTGTATATGGCTTTAAGACTAAAACAGACGTGTGACCCCGTTACAACCTCCTTCACCAGACTAAACATACCACATAACGTCGAATAAATAATTATCGCATCGAGGCCACTGGCAAAAAAGTTACATCACCTATTTTGAGCGTCGGATGTGCCAATGCCAAACGAGTCTTTGGTCTTTTCCGATCTCCATAGTATTAAAGAGGAGGAAATAAACCAAAGTAGTGATGTCGAGTCCAATGTCAGCTAACCTGTGCGAGAAGACCTGTCGAGAGAGGCACCTAATTCATTGTCTTCAATAAGGGCTGTGAATGCGCGAACAGCGCTCCACACGACACCTGGTATGGGATCGGCTAAGATCCCGAACTTACTTGACTAAGAGCAGGAGCAGGTGCTCCAGAAATAGAATAGCGGTCGGCGCAGATCACGTCGACGCTCTTAAGTCATTCTGACTAAGTGGTTAACTACCCTCTTACAACTCTTAGTTTTGAGGAACATCTCCAACAAACGACTGATAATTCTTTGGTAACGTGGACCATCGGCCCGGCAGCTAATATGACTAGAGAGGTTGAAGCAAGCAGGATATTGTGTGAGCGGTACCTGGTACCATATGGTATGACTCCAAGCAAATAAAAGTTAAGACTTTTATATTAAGGATATGTTGTGCCAGTTTCCCGATCATGGGGTATCTCCGTACTCCTAGACGCAGGAGATTTAGCCTATGAAGGAGACAATTAGTTCATACGCAAAACTTATAATTGCGCTGCTTAAGCAGCATTATTACTTTAAAGCTAAAAAAAAGCTAACGTACGTCTCGAGCGGATTGTCCATTACGACTTCGCCAAACTTAGGGACAAAGGCCAGTTGCGGGAGATGATTGGCAAGAGATACGCTACGGCTGTGCCGATGATTGCGAGTCCACATCAGTCTTGGTCGTAGACCCACCTACTACTGCCATTTCTGTACGAAGAATGAGGGGTCGCAATTTTACAAACCTGATAGTGGTGCTCAAAAACATTCACGGCATGTGAAAATAATCTCAAAAAGGGTTCTCGTATTCCATAAATTTTTAGATTCAGATTTACCCGCCACTTTACCAGATACTGGTATTGAATCTGACGAAGATGTCGTTGTAGTACCTTCTCCGCATTTAATTTAAGGTCCTGGTGATGGCCAAGAAACACTGATAGCGGTTGATATGTCGGCTGAAGCCCGTGAGTTTATTTCAGAGGAGAAAAGCCTTCGCACGACTTTGGTCAGACCCGGAGCACACTTGACGCGGTGCAAGCTCACTTTTCGGATAATAAATATATTAAGCAAGGAGGTGGAACTTAAACTTCTACATAGGATGCAGCAGCTTGTGGCTAGGCAAGCTATCGCAGCGCAAGCGCTTCCCAATCAACCTGGAACGGGTCACGATAAGGCTTAAGGAGGCCAACGTAAATTACGGGGGGGTGCAGTTTGTTCGATGGGTTGA